ATCTATGAGAATGTTAAGTGGCGAGGAGTTAAGCGTACTATTGGTACGGTAGCTTCTGTAAGCCACAAGCGATTTCCATAAAAATAGTGTTTTATTTACAAAGAAGGATTATTTATAAATTGCGGAAATACCAATAACGAAGAAATATTATTCTAAGGAACACATGACAATTTGTAACTATCACTATCACACTAGGGTCACCCAGATCTCTGATCGATCGGCTGATTAAAAATCACTACTTTGACAAATGCGCGACGATACACACATGATTCGAATCCGAGATACATAGTAACTGAGCTAGGAGAGGTCTGTAGATGGAGACGCACATAGAAAATCATAACAGCATGAAAAGGGTAGGAAATATTGGTCCCGGACAGAAGCAGGGTTACGGTTGTAGATTTCGAGATCATGGTGAAATGGCATTGTGGTTGTAGAGGTTGTGTGCCATTATTTGTAGAGCCAGCGGCGGTCTTTCCGTGGTCACCTTCTTCAGCTTGGCTCGCTTGTTCTGAAATTATGAACATTAGTAATCAAGAAGTACGGGACCCTACTCCTGAAGAACTTCGACTTTAAATTTAGGTACAGGTAAATCGATTAACCTACAAAATGGTGGTTATAAACGTGAAGCTCTAAGCCCTAAGCGAGCTGTAAAAGGTACTCACATCGCTGGCAAGGTACTTTCCGCATTTGAGTGAAGCTTATCAAGGGTCGTCCTGGGACGCACTCGTTCCGCGTACATAGGACTGATAAGGTCAACCGCGCGTTATACAAAAATTAGTGGGGGCTGTATCGGGTCCTGTGGAAGGTTGTAGTGATGGACACACACTTCTGCGAGCCTAAACACCAAGATGGCGGAGCTGGCTGTCTCACTGATCTCTCACATTCAAGGAGAAAGGCCAAGATCCTCGCCGAACCATGGCCCAAAAACGATCTTTCAGCACGCTAGATCGCTTTCACAGTAATCCACATTGGCACTGGGGCGCATAATTGAACCGGAGCATTGATACAAGCGTCCTTCGAACGACGCCCCAGCAAGTGCAATCCACAACTCAGCGGCCTCCTTCAACCTTGTCCAGGGACTACTTTGAATGTGACGATTTACTTGCCATCGTGAGCATATTAGAATTTCCATCTGTGCCCTTTCTTCCATTAAGTAGGCGCTTCTGTCTCATTAGGCCCCAAAAATGTTTTAAGTGCCTCTGTGTGGTACAGTGGTACAAATTTGTACCAACAATTACCTTGTACCCTCAAGTTAAGGGGTTAAGGCAGCTCTCCAAAATCCAAGTATCGTTCGCTTAGCCGCACAAGCGGCAAGGTGGTCCTACAACTCATCGGCAGGACAGCGTCCTGTCATGAAGGCCATCTGTTGTGGGGCCTTACGGCTGCATATCCCTAACCCCTCGATCATTTTCCCTAAGCAACTCTCTCTTTCAATCATTGGCCATGGTGATCGAACCGATCAATAATTGATTACCCTGTGGCACAAGTCGATTATCGATCGGTGAAATCCCATTTCAATTGGGTTCACGGTTTCATGGTGCGCTTTTCCCTTTCTGCTGAATGAAACATGTTGTCGTCACGGAGGAAGAGTAAGCAATTAAGCGATAGCGATCGCTAAAGAGCGGCTTCTGCCGTGCCGTCGTCGTTGCGGTAAATTCGAATAACTTGAAGGTATCTATTTCGATTCGATTCGAATAGTCAGGCACAGTGGTGACGAATCACCTCCCGGTCACATAAATGCCGATGTCCCAGAACGATATCCCGATACAAGTGCGTATCGTTGCATGTAATCTCTTTTGCCCTTCTGACGGGACATGAGGCCGCCGACTAATCACCGAAAAAACCCGCGACAAGATATGTAATTAAAGGCGGTTTCTTCTACTACGGCTATGCTCATCTGGGAAAATGAATAGGCACTATGACAGATCACCTTTGATAGATGATAGATGATAATAGTACGGACTACATCGCGTAATGCAGCGAACGAAAATGCCCTTGTATTGCCCATAGACGCACGAAAAAGCAGTGGGTCTATAGGCTATACAAGGACAAAGCGAACAATTCTGTGACACTCAGCTGTAACCTCTGAGAGGTTAGAAAATCAGAATTTGTCTGCATAGCCCCCACAGATCGTTCAAGCGACAGTGACCGCAGATTGTTGAGAAGAAAATTTGGAATGCCATTGGCTCTTCGGAAAGATATCCGTCTCTTTCGGCATAATTGTCTCGACGATTGTGAATTTGTTGTCGTACGCATCGGCTTGAGTACACGGCGCATTCCAAAGGTATCGATTGATGACTAGCGCTTGATTTCTCAGCTTGTCCGCTCACAGTGATATGAAAGCGCAATTCTTGGACATATAGCCATAGTCCGGCATAAGTGCAATAGTATAATAAGTCAATGATTTACTTAGGGGAGTGCTCCCAAGGTAAAGAGCTGGCCATCTCGAGCGGAACTTGCTATGTTAAAGAGTGAAAGAATCAGTCTACAAGGTTCTATCTTTATGAACATCCAGAGAGAAGTGCTCGATAGAAACTGCCTTGCCTTAGGCTCTAGACACTATTACACGCTTTCCTCTGGAAGAGGAGCTGCCCTACTTTTCGAGCTCGCCCCCCCCCCCCCGAGAACGAGATAAGCAGTCCAGTGCACTGTATGCATATTGAGATTTTTTTGGGAGAAAGAAAAAGAATGGCAGAGGCTTGAAAAATCAGGACTCCATCAAGGCTAATGATGGATCACTGTACCGCTATGCCCAAGTTGCCAGTTCCTTTGCAGATAGTATATAGCACTTAGAGTGAGCTCTTTACTATCTTAACCTGAGCAAATAGAACGGTCAATTGAGTATGCTTATCTATCCATACGAACGTCTAAATTTATTCTGCTCCCGAGTAGAGATTCGGTTGATTGGACATGATTCAGTTCGAGACTTGATCCCCAGTTTGCACATTTTGACCTGGCGCCTACGTATTGACAGCCCATATTTCAGAACTTCTTCGATGTTTTTTTTTGAGAATTAACCTATGAAAAACACTTTTACGATTACAGCCTAAATAATCACCTGAAACCAGATCTTGATCTGGGATTCGTTGAGACCAAGTTCATGAGCCAATTCTTGGCGCCGTTTTTCAGTGAGATACCTGAAAGTGGAGAACATATATGCAAAATTCAGCTTTTAGATTATTGATCTTCGAAAAAAAAGGAATTCCCTATTCTGATGATTCTTACTCTAGAAATTACCTGTTATCGAGAAACTGCTTTTTGAGTCGATCCAGTTGACCGGGAGTGAAAGCAGTACGGGGCCGTTTCTCTTCGACAGTTCTCGCTTCTCGGTTTTCCGAGAGTCTGGACCTGAAATAATACTCAGTGAACAAAGCGATTTTTGCTACTCCCCGCTGATTTTTCAGACTGGTTTTTTGAAGGAATTCCGTTCTCTAAATATTTTTTAGCTCAAAGGACAAAGTGACGTAAGACGACTCTTTTTCTTCACGTCGTCAAAGAAGATGGTTAGCTTGCTTCCGAGTGTTTTCAAGTGGCAGATTTTTTGGCAGTGCACTAGCTTTTGAGCTAGTAGTTATGGAAGTGTAGGTCTTATTAAGTATCAAAAGCTATACGGGTCTATTCCAGTTAGGGGGGCATCATGGTGCGGTGACTCCCAAAAAGCTACGGTAACTCTGAGCCAGGGGGAGTGTAGCCAGCCTAGGGGGGTGGGGGGTGAGGGCAGTCACTTGACATGCGTGAGAAGCTGGAATGTTCGAGTTTACATTAGCTCGCCGAGAAACTGCATCATGATGCCCCCCCCCCTAACTGGAATAGACCCGTCTAAATCGAATAAAGTGAGAGTTCGAGCTTCATTTTGGCAGGGTGAACATGGACAAAGGCTGTCAAGTTTCTCCTTCATTGAGTCCAGCTCCTCAATTGTGGATTTGTCCATTCAAACAACGCACTCAATCAGACGAAGCCGTTACGCTACCGTAATCCGTTCGCCGGCGACCACGTACTCTCCGCCCCCCATTGACACTTCGGCGCGTGGCAGTAAACTTGAAACATTCACCGTTTATCGCTTAAATCACGATTTGTCGGGAAATTTTCACTTCGCATGCATGTATGCAACGACAAAACACGCGCACAAAGGCAGTAAAATAAGCGGATGGTGATGAGTACAAGCGATACACGGTAACAAGATTCATTTGAAAATGGTACTTTACTGGACACGTAACTCTGAAGGACATGGAGAGTGAACTCTTTGGAAATGAATCGAAGGATTGAACGGCCTGCAGGATACCCTTCTCAACTGAAAGAATACCAGTGGGAAAGAGGCTCTCCCATCAAATGGGTAGCCATTTGCGCCCATATTTGTCCCCAGACAGTGAATCAATGCAGGATTTTTTGGAGGGAAAAAGCACAGGGCTTGGTGCACTGGTTAGCCCTCTCAATTCATTGCATGCTCCATATCAGCTCCATTACGATTCCGGAGCGAAACAGGGTGCACGGTCCATCATAGAGGGGGTCGGGACCGAAGCGCTCTATTGTATTACCTCCTTCTGACCTTCCAGCTTGCGTGTTTTCGCAACTACCAAGAGGCACAATTCGGATCAAATAAATACCTGCTTCGAGAATGAATAAACATCATTTATTCAACCATTGAAACTATTTCTTCGAATTTCTT